TTTATTGATAAAATAGATAATAGAATAATAACACAGGACAGTTGTTTCACATTTAAAATATATACATGTGGTAAATGTGACCATTAGAGGGAATCACACTCGTGAACATTTCATTATAGTCATGCTGACACCAACCTGTCATAAATGTTGTGTAGGTACAGTATACAAATCTTGCATCGTTTATCGACTTATCACCATCCAGTTCCAAATCCCAGAGTGTGTCGTCTCTGCCTCTGCTGATACTTCTGGTGTGTCAGACTGAGGAGACCTCTGGAGCCCTATTCAGTCCTTCTGTAGAGAGACCAAAATCATTTCATAGAGAGGGTTTATGCTCAGTAAATGTTCTTAATTCTAAGCATAAGTGCAAAGTTCATAGGATTCTGAGGCACATTAGAACTAGATTTCACTCTGAGCATCTTTATACATAGATAAATACATGAATGTAACATTTCTTTTAGATCAAAAAGAAAATCAGGTTGCACTGCTTATTAACTGCACTATTGTCCCATTTCATATACAGCTATTCACCCCTGCTACCTGCGTTTTGTTTCCACATAACATCGTCTACATATGGTCTGTTGTATCACCGACAGTGGTCTGTCTGGTTTTCTCTTTTTCACAGGAAACAGTTCTAACCATCCAGCTGACAGCGTGGTCTGAGGTCTGCCAGCCTCTCTACTGAAGATTATCTAAACAGTGCTGCTGACAACACACTGACATCATGAATGACGGTGGAGCCATGCTTCACTGGGAGGACAACTCTACCAGTGGCATTTATTTAAATTCTATAATGTGATATGTGATGTCCTACACAGCATTTGCACTACTTGATGACATCCTACTCTCAGGGCCACTGTCTGTTGCACTGGTGCTATCACAGTCATTCCAGTCACTGCATCTGGACTGATTTTAATTCCATATTTATATTGTCAGTGTTGTTGTTCAGCCAGAACTCCAGCTGTTTTTCTGACTGGTCTGAAATAAAAGCTATTCCATAGCTTGTGTGTTAACAAAATGTATCCTGTTCTTTTCAAGTTTACACTGTAGGTGTCAGCACTGAATTTCTATTTAATGAGCTCCATTCCTCCATTCTCACAGGTGTATAATCCTGAGACTGCACACATGTATTGTTTTCACATCTGCTCCCTAAGACAACCACTCTGCCACATCTTCCTAACACACTGCTACACAGCCAGACCAGCAATATTTACATGGTGTGTTTGTGGATTTGGGGTCGGGGGTAAAACTGAGTTCA